ACAACAAATTGGCAAAAGGTCTACAAAAAATGTAACCTAGGAAACACTAACTCTACATACAATAACTTTATAAATTTATTTATCCTATAATATAATAAAAGTTTTCCAATTCAAGTAAAAATAAATAAAAGAAAAATATTTAAATTGTCCATGGATAACGAAAATCCTCAAAAAAACAACAAAAGCTATACGTAAAATACTTAAAAAATAGAAGCGAAGCAAACTTATCGCTCTACAAGTAATACAAAAAACCTATTTGAAAAAATAAAAAAAACAACATAAAATTTCAAATTATTCTAATCAAAAACAAAAATTTGATGTAGAGTTCAAAAAGATATGGGCATTATGAAGAAAATAATTGGTAAAAGTAAATATAGTTTTAACAAAATGCCTTCTAGAGTAATAAGTAATGAAAGTAAATCAAACAACAAGTGAGATATAGAGATGAGTTGAACAACTACTTTGCCAACACTGGTGCTGATCTTGCATCAAAAAATCAATGCCCAATTAATACATTTAAAAATTACTTAACAGACTCACACTGCTCTTTAAACTTCAATAAAATAAATCAAGATGAACTTGAAATAGCTATAAAATCACTTAAAATCAAGTCCCCAGGGATCGATGACAACTCTTGCAAAGTAGTGTCAGATGTTTTTGAGGAGATACGTAATCCAATTTACCAAGCATTTAATTCATCAGTTGCAACAGATATTGTACCTAATAAATTAAAAATCACTAAAATTATACCAATCTATAAAGTCGGGAAATTAAAAATCAGTAGAAACCAAATCTTTAAACAATTATAGACCATTCTCAATCCTTTCGATATTCTCAAAACTTCTAGTACGAATAATCTATAATAAATTAAATGAATAGTTAAAAACCAACAAACAAAATTATCAATAAAGGTCAATATGGTTTTCAAAACCTACACTCAACAGAGCATGCAATCCTTGACCTTTCAAATAGGATAACTAGATCATTAAAAAAAAATTAAAATAGGGATCTTTATTGATTTGTCAAAGGCATTTGACACCGTCAATCATGAGATTTTACTGACAAAAATGGAAAACTATGGTATAAAAAATCAAGCTTTAAATTGGTTTAAAAACTACTTTAATAACAGACAACAGTGTGTTATTATAGATAGAAAAGCAACTCAAATTTACTAAAAACAAAATGTGGTGTACCCCAAGGTTCCATTCTTGCTTCTCTTTTGTTTTTTATTTACATAAACGATCTTCCAAATGCCTCTAACATCTTTAAAACTATAATGTTTGCCAGCGATACAACAAATTTGTAAGAACAAATACTAATACTAAAACAAATTAATATATGGTTTAAATCAAATAAACTGTCACTCAATATAGAAAAAACTAAGTATATACAATTCCACTCTAACCAACTTGTCTACTTTTCATTCATACATAGCTATCTCATGTATGCCAATATAACATGGTGCAGTACCCATAAATTTAAACTAGAACCACTTTACTTACGTCAAAAACACGCTTTAAGATTTGTATACAACAAAAACAAATTTACTTATGCCCAAGCCTTATTATAACAAATGAACGCACTAAATATATTTCAAATAAATATTTATCAAAATATACTTTTTATGTTTAAATATAAACTAAGTCTGGTTCCAGAACATTTTACAGCACACTTTTTTGAGAACAATATAAATAAATACAATACAAGAGCAACAGGCAACTTTAAGATACCTTTTGAAACAACAATACTCTCAAAATTCTCAATTACATATCGTGATCCCTATTTATTTAACAAATTATTTCCAGTTATAAATTGCTGTTAAACTTAAACAACGAACACTCTCTGAAAATAAAGCTAAAATCTACAATAATCAAATTAAACAATTATAAGGAATTTTTTGAAAATTAAATAAAAAAATAAATAAATGTAATTTAACTTTTAATAGAATCGCTAAAAAATAATAATAATAATAACAGATATGGTAATCTATCTTTAAAATTTTTTTTTCCTTAAAAGCAAACACTTTTTGGGCATGTTTTTTCGTAGTTTGTGTAGTATCCAGAATTTCCAGACATGTTGTCCCCTGCAAAACAAAAGTATTTTTTGTCATTGATGACCAGAAGCAACTTTGTGTTATAGAGTTGGCTAACTAGTTTCCTGTTTCTTTTCTTTGCTTTTAATTGTTGTTTTTTAGTGTATTTTGGATCCTTTTCACGTTTTCTATATTTAATATTCATTTTTTTTTACTGACAACCAGTTGTCGATTGATTTACACCGAATTTAAAACCTATTTTTCTTTGACTGACCCTGTTTTGATTGTTGGCAAATCTCGTAAATTCGGCTATTTTTCTTTAGTTCAGGATGTTAGACAACTACGGTGCTTTCTATCAGAAAAGGATTTAACAGTCTTAAGTCTTTTTAGGTTATCAAAAAACATTGAGTCGCTTTCAAAAAAATTTTCGTTCCGCTTCATATAAGCTCATTTTTAAAAATTGTGTTTTAGATAATAAAGTTTATATTTTATAGAACGTTTATGCCTGCGCATAAAACCACAAATAAATTATTTTTCTCAAATAATATTCATATTTTTTTAATTTTATGTATAAACTGAACCAAACAAGTTTTTACGAATAAACTTTTTTTTAGGCACCGATTCAATCCCATTGGTTTTCCAGCCAAATATAGCTAAGTATACAAATTTTGCTTTTAGAGAAAACGTGCCATTGGGGTAAAGTGTGAGTAGAAGTGGGACAGATAAATTTAAAACAACATTTTAACACAAATTATTAAATAGAAACTGATAAAACCATAAAATCATCAAATCGACATAAAAATGTTTAAAAACTTTCATCAATCAAAATAATAAAATGGCGACGGGAAGAAGCGGGACATAAATATTTATTTTTTTTGTCCCACTTTACCCCAATATAAATACTTTTTTAAGGTACATTTCAAAATTAGGGCTTCTGACGCACGCAGGGAAACAAAGCAATTTCAGCTAAATAAAGGAGAAAAAAATTTTAATTTTTAGTGGTACCTAAATACTTTTTTTTAATTTTTAAAATTAAATAATAGTATTTAGGTACCATTCCTAATTAGATATTTCAGGTTGTCCCACTTCTCCCGCGTACCACTTTTAGGCTGCCCTACTTCTCCCCACTCTAATCTTCAACATAATGTTTTTGAGATGCCACGAATCTTCGGCTGAATATTCGGCAACATTTAATTATATTGAGAGCTCCAACCTGCTTCGTAGTAGTGTTTATGTCAACTACTTTGTGGGCATTTATTAATAGTTTGTGTCACAGAATGCATTATTTGTTGACTGACACACAGTTATGCATAAAAGTTTCATACTTTTCAAACCATTTAGAAAAGTTCAAAAAAAACTAGCTTATGTATATCTTGCACTTTTGAGGTAATTTCAAAATATGCTATAGATTGAAATAGCATAAAAACTCTAAACTTATTTAAAATGTTGTTTTCACGACAACCTGAACTTAAAGCATGGTTTAACCTAAATGAGAAAGACGATTTAACGATTGCCTTTTTTAATAAGTGGCCGAATATTTGTGACATCACTATAATTTTCAATTTAAAAACATTGAATTCTATTTAAAAATATTGAATATTATTTACTATTCAAATAGCCGAAGGTAAAATTAAAATGTTTGACCTATTTAGAAAACCTGATTATTTTTATTCTTTACCAGTATTTTGCAACATTTCTATTTTTAACAACAATATCTAGCGTTTCTTATTATTTCGTTTTAAAAATTTTAAAAACATCTGCTCTACGCAATCTTTTGAAATCAGGTTTTGAGGTCAATTTATATTGATATATCGAATTAAAACCACTTTATTACATGTTATTGTAATAAAAAGCTGAAACCATAAAAATTATTAATAAAGATCGGTCAAAATTTCTATAGCATTTTTCAATGAAACGTCATCTGTGCTACGCAACCTTTAATTGTCATGTAAGCTAGTAATTTTCTTTTAAATATTTTCTATATGACTTACTGTATCTTCTTTTAAATATTTTCTATATGACTTACTGGTAAAATGTTGAAAAAAAATTATTTTTTTAAATATTTATTTCATTTTTGTCCATAGAAAATCTTACTAAAGGTAATGGAAATTTTGGTAAAAACTTAAAATTTATTTTTTGATCGCTATTTCATTTTAGAAAAAAAGATACTAAAATCTACAAAGTTGTAACTCTATATTTTTTTCATTATTAAAAGGGTTTTTTAAAAGTTTTAAAGTTTTTAAATAAAAAAAAAAGACCAGTTTTTTTTTTAATGAATGAATGATATTATGAATTTTTATAAAATATATTATATTTAAGTACCCACGGTTGGCTAAACAAAAACAACCTGATAACTTTTTTTTCTCCTTTTTTTAAAAAGATTATAAATACCGTTCTCTAATTAATAGGGACAGGGCCTGGTTTTTTATAACTATAATTATTATTATTATTATAATTATTATTATCACTAATATTATTATTGCTTTTATTACTAATATTATTATTATTACTATTATTGTTATAATTATTGCTGTTATTGTTATTATTATTATTGTTATTATTATTATTGTTATTATTATTATTGTTATTATTATTATTATTATTATTATTATTATTATTACTTTTATTATTATTATTATTATTATTATTATTATTATTATTATTACTATTATATAATATAATACAAGTAAGGTAAACTAAGTTACATTTAGGATAAACAATATACGTTCATTTAAAAACTTTTTTTTAAGATTTTACATTATTATTTTGGAAAATTTTTTTTGAAGAATACCCTTGAAAAATTCTCTTTGTTTCACTGAGTTCTAGAACTCAATTGCACATTATAAAATGTAAAGATCCTTTATCAGGATAAAGGATCTTTAAATTAAAATTTAAATTTAAAAACACAGTTAACAAATTTATTGCATAACTTTATAACATAACAAATTGTTAACTGTCATTTTAATTATAACAAGTTGGAGTTATTTTTTAGTGTAATACTTAAAATAAAATGAAATCTCTCATATTGTTAACATTATTTGCTGTTTTTGGATGCAGTATTGCAGGTATTAAATTGATTTTTTTATATAAAATGTTTATATTTATGTATATATATATATATATATATATATATATATATATATATATATATATATATATATATAATGTATGTATATATATATATATGTATATATATATATATATATATATATATATATATATATATATATATATATACATTTATATATATATATATATATACATATATATATATATATATATATATATATATATATATATATATATATATATATATACTTATATATATATATATACATATATATATATATATATATATATATATATATATATATATATATATATATATATATATATATATATATATATATATATATATATATATATATATATAATATATATATATATATATATATATATATATATATATATATATACATATATATATATATATGTAGGGTTCGCACTGTCAGCGCAGATCTGCACAGACATTGTAATTTGTTTGCGCAGACGTCGGCGCCGGCAAAATTTATTATTACTGCTAAAATATACTAAGGTTCGTCTCTCGGCGCAGATCTGCGCAGATATTATTATTATTACTGACGATTTATTGAAATCAACAAAAAAAGTTTTAAACTTAAAAAATATTTTAAGTATTCTTATAACTTTATTATAAATTCAGTGATTAGTAACAATAGGAGTTCAAAGATTCTTACAGTAATAAAAATATATAATGCTGGCGCCTATTCGGTGATTTCTTGACATTCAATTTCATTGAGAATTGCACCTTCTTCAAGAATGTAATCAGTCTTATCATTTGTGTCCATCAGCACGCTATTGGTAAAAAGAATACTAGCTTTTCAATTCTCTCATTCGTAAGACGATTTCTTAGTCGCAAGTGAATAAATCGAAAGGTCGCCAAGCTCTTTCTGCTGTAGCCGATGAGCAAATCATTTCGTTAATAGGCTTAGCAATTTCATAAAGAGCAGGATATTTATTGCGAACGATAATGTTCCAATAATTTTGCGAGTTCATCTTGAATATTGTTTCCTTTCTTTTCTCAGGCAGCACAGAAATTTCTCCTATATAAGCAATCAATTCATCTTCAGCAGTGGCAGCAATTTCAGGTTTGATCTTTTTGGCGAATTCAACTGTAGCAGTTATAAAATCGGTTTTATCTTTTTCAAATATAAACCTTCTGCGGCATTTTTGGGCGTTAATATAAAAGCAATTCCAATACATGGTGTGAAGAGAAAATCGAGGCGAGATTGCACTTTTTGTTGTATGTCTTTATCGTCCATATATGAATGGTACATTTGACCAAATTAATCATACACGCGAGACAATGGAGCTGTATCACATTCTAGATTTCCGATCACATTGGAAAGAAATTCAATGCTTTTGACAAGCTTAGAGACGGTCCAAAATGGGTTAGATTTTATCAATGCCATAACAGCAGCAGATGTATTCTTTGGTTGAATTTCCTTCAGTAATGGACTTTCTTTGTCTACCAACTTAATAAGAACGTTTTTTGATAGCTGGAGACTGCTCATTGATTTATAATAACTAAACCATCGTGTAGATACAGGCATGGACAATGAAAGAGAAATATTTGCTGCAATTCGTCTTTCATCAAACTTTGCTTTCATGATGTGATCATTTTTCACATATTTGATGATTTTCTCTGCATTATTGACTGTTTTTGTGGCCTCAATTGTAGAAACTATGTCTTTTACAAGCAAGTTGACTCCATGAGCTCCGCATCCGCTAGCCGAGATGTGTGGATATTTCTCCTCGATGATCCTCTACGCTGATTTCATTACAGGAACGTTGTCGTTTATGAAACTGGTAAATTTTTGTGAGCTAATCTTCTCAATAACTTGTAAGTTTGCTGCAGCAACTGCAGATGAATTTTGAATGATTCCGGATGTATTTATCGAGGTGTAAAAAAAAAGCTTTTGCTCGGGCGCTTTAATACAAAAATTCACTATGTGATCGCCTCTTATGTTCGTCCAGCCGTCAGACATCAGTTTTAAGTTTGTTTCAGAATTCAAAATTTTATTTACATAAATAGAACATTTTGTGTATTGTCGGCGTATATATAAATATAACATTTTGTGTATTGTATTTAGACGTCGGCGCCGACGTCTGCGCAGATATGCGCATATTTTGCCTGCGCAGATCTGCACAGATGCATTTGCCAAACCCTATATATATGTAAAGTAAAGTGTTTTTTTGTTAAGTGTGTGATATATATATGTATATATATTACAATTTATTTAGGTAAATCGCTTTGCAAAACAACATACACTGAGTATAACTCAGATGGGGGAGGTAATATATATTATCTCGATCGTCATAATCTAAAATGTGATGAAGGTTTTGCTCTTAACTCTTTCAAACTCGAAAGAGATGGTGCTGGAAACTATCGATACTCTGGGTGGTGTTGTTCTTTAGAAAACTCATTTGTCAACCGCGCTTATTCAAACCCTTTCACACCCGGAAGCAACGAAGCTGTTTATCTTGACCGACAAATTGTATCGTGCAACGAAAATTTTATTTCCAGTTTTCAACTTAAACGACTCGATAGTTACGTAAGTTACAGTTACAGTTGCAGTAAATCATCAAAACCGAAGTCTTGCTATGAGGATAACACGGCATTTAATGATGCTGGTGGAAATAGCGGCAATGTTCTCTATTTGGATCGACACGTAGTTGCTTGTAAATGTGATTACCTTATTTCTAAATTCCAATTAGTTCGAAACCCAAATCTTAAACAATGGCAATACGCTTTTAGTTGCTGCAAATAAGTTTGTGTTATTATTTTAAAGAAATTTATTTTGACACTTAATTTTAAATTTTTAAAAGTTTCTATCAATAATATATGAGAAGTATTGTTTTAAATAAAGAAATTAATCGGGTAATTAGTAGGGTAAAAAGTAGGGTAATTACGGCATATTAGGCTCTTTTTTTTTTAATACACAATTGTTTCCTTTATTGCGCCAATAAATAATGAATATCGTTAGCGCCTGCTATCGATATTCATTAAGTTGATCCTTTAATATTACATTTAAAAAACTTATCAGACTTTTAAACTTTCATGCAAAACTTATATTTAAAAATACTCAAAAACAATGAAGTTAACGACTATGTACTATATAAATATGATGTGCAACTATATAAGTTAGCGTTATATAAGTTAGCGACTTTGTACTATAAGTTGATGATGTATGACTGATGTATGACTGTATACTATGTTAATAATGATGTACAACTACGAATGAAAAAAAAAATGATGTACAACTATATCTTAAGTTTTTTTTTTTTTATTTATTTAGGTGCCCCAAGAAGTCCTTACGGTCTTATCACTAAGCACCGCGGAAGAGAATTTGATAAGAAGTTCACGCCTCCTTCCCAACCCATGTCGCAAAACTTGCTCAGAGGTGGGGTTTGAACTACGGATTTTATGTTTCTGAGGCAAGTGCGCCACAGTTAGCGTTATATAAGTTAGCGGCTATGTACTATATAAAAATATTGAAGACGAGCGACGAGTGGTAATTTCAACACAATAATGCGATAAACTTAGCAGTCTTAAAAAGTTAAGACAAGATCAATAAAAAAACGAATTTATAAATTTAAAACACCATAAATATCTCTGCATCCTATATATAGTAACTCTCTGTTATAATGAATTTATTACACTTTATTGGGGTCGCAAACGCTTTTTGTAAAGATATAACAAACTAAGTAAAGAAATTATGAACCACAGCTTCTTCAACAAATCTATAATATAAAAAATTTGCTACCTAAAATCTCATAATTTTTTGTAAAATTGTTCAATTTATAAAATACGTTATCTAATAGTAATAAAAATACAGTCCACCCCTCCCAGAGAACACAAGCACGTATAAAAAACGTTCAATGTACGTCCAGTTTGCTTTCCGTCAAAGAGAAAGTTGTCGTCGGAGAAAGTTGCCCTTTTTAACATTTTACTCCGGTGTAGAATATTCAAATTGGACATTCTACTCCGGAGAACAAATTTCCTAGTAATTCATATTCGTCTGAAAATTTGGAGGTATATTGTTTAAAAGTATAAATATACTCCTAATATGTCCTATTCGTCTGAAAATTTAAATGAATATTTGGACAACTTTACTGAGTAGCACGTCTAAAACGGAAACTCTACTCTGGAAAAAAGTGCCCCAGTATGTCCTATTTGATCGTCTAGAACAATCTATTGAGAAAAAACTGTCCTACATTGGAGTAAACTGTCCTATTATTTTGCAGATTGTATACTTTGAACTACTCAAGCTATATATTTTAGCGTTTGCTTATACAATGGTTTAAATTCTGTAAAAGAATATCATCGCACCCTAAAATATCCACTAACGGTTGATCAAAAAGACTACCAAGATTTATTTTGTGTCAACAAAACGAAACTTCTTTTGTTTAAAAGTATTTCCTTTATAAAAATAAAATATAGTATTTTTTAAAATCCGAAAAAAGTGCTAAGTGTTACAAATGGGGCGAAAAGGTAAATTAGGGTGAGGGGAACCCTTGAACCTTTTTACAGAAAATATATCAATTATATAAGAATCCTTGTCTTAAAAAAATAGAAAATAAAGCTTTTAAAATTGCTACAGGTGCTAAGTGTCACAAAGAAGGAAAATAATTATATTGAAAAATTATTATGACGCTAGTTATAAGAAAAGTTGTTAATTTATGATATTTATTTTACAAAAATAGACGCTTGCAAGGTCGTCCCAAAGAGGTCTTCCATGAGGGGTGTATTTATTTTTTTGCCAACTAAAAACACAAAAAAGAAAAAAAAAAATGTCCTTAATATTTGCTATTTGCCAACTATAGTTCAGAACTCGCTCAATGTGCCAACTCAAATGCTTGATGCTATTATATACAGCTTTGGGGTGGGACACCCCAACACCCCTCCCTTTTAGGACGGTCCTGGGCGCAGGTATTTTAAAATCGCAACAAAGAACTAAGATTCACTAATGAAGCAAAAAAGTTATATTGATGGGGCCCTAAGCCTGTTTAAGCATTTTAGATGGATGGTACAAATAAAGACTTAACGTAATTAAAAAAACTTAACAAAAAAAAATCTAAATTTACTATACTAATTTATATTTGTTACACTCTCTACTCTATTCAGCAAACTTAGCTAGGCCAAAGGTATGGTGTTTAACAAAGAGCTGAACATGAAACAGTAAAATGTGAAACTTCCAGCTTAATGAGCATTTTTTCCTAAAAGCCTGTGAACGCTCTAGGGTGTAAAGAAAAGAATTTTTAAACACAGTAAATGAAAACTTATACTCTGTTGCAAGAACTTAACCAAAACAGGAATCTTTTACTACTTTTAAGTTTTCAAATGTAATGAATAATCATTTAGCCATAACAGGTAATACTTTTTTTTATATATATTTAACCTTCATGGTTTCACACTAGTTTGACTTGGATATAACTTTCTTAATTGCATTAAGGAAATAATTAAAGCATAATTTATATATTCACATGGCATTATAAAAGAGTTAAGCAATTTTTTAAAAGCGAATTTCTTTCTTGGTGTTATGCAGATTAGGACTAATCTTTTTACTGTAGTACAACCACTTAGAAGATATTCAACTTACCAGATATACACACGATATATTTAAAGTAAGTTAACAACTTTTCTACATGATAATATTGTAACATGGATTCCGCAAGGTCATTTAATTTGCCAAAAAGGTTTTTTTTTTTGAGAAGAGAAGAAATTAACTGTTTGGTTTTTTTTTTAAAAGTTCCAATACGGCTTGAAGTCCCTTTATAACTTTTAAAAATACTTGCTTTACTAATCTTCGATTTACTTTTTTAGAAGGACATCTAACAGTTACATCCAACGAGTATTGTTTTAAAGTATAGTAATTTAATCGTTATCTAATTAACAAGAACTTTTAATCAAACAATTTTTTGCCATTTACTAAAATTTAGAAAAAAATTTAGAAATATTCAGGTGTATAACAAACTTACCATGACCCGCATTGTACAGATCTTGAAAGCTTGTTTTAAATAATACGAAAGGCTTTTAGCTTAATGAAATATGTTATGTTTTGTAGGTGATGTGATGAAATTGTATCACAGGCTGTAAATTTAATAAAAGCTAAAGGTAATCTTATTTTAAATATAAGTAAGATGTTTTTTTATTTTTTACTGGTTTAAAATAATTTTATTTTAGTATATTCAATCAATTTTTATGTGAATGTAATTATTTAGTACGGTGTTATGTCTGATGGTATTCAGGTTAGATTTCATAAAGTTTAATTTACTTATAATAAATCTTTAAAATTTACTTCTTAAAACATTTACATTTGTTTTGTTTTTAGTTTCTAATTCAATAAATTTTTGTGTACAAAATGTTCAAAATGGAACAATAGTTATTTAGTTATTTTAGTTTTAGTGAGAAAGCACATATTGTAGGTTTTAGTTTCTAATTTATTTTCATCTTTAAAATGATTTAGAAGTTTTTTAATATGATTGCGTTATTCTATTCTATCACATATTTTAATAATGGTTTGATTGGTTTAATTTGTTTTTAATTTTCAATTTGATTACCTGTTTTTTTTTTGATATTTATTATAGCCAATAAAGTTGTAGCAATCCAGCAACCATAGCTGCTGCGCCGCCCTTATCTGCAACTAGTAAATAAATAATTTGTAGGTTTTTTAGTTAAGTATGAAATTAAAATATCATTCAACTATTTCATTTGTTACTTTTTTATTGTTATGTTTCTCTTATTGCTAGATCTCTCCTATGGAGAGCTCTAATATTCTCACCGATGCGTTCATTTGTCTTAAGGTTGTCGGTAAAATGCGTACTGCGAACCGCGAACTGCGAACCGGTAAAATGCGAACTTTTTTGCGAATCAAAACATTATATTTTAAAGATCATTATTGTTATGATAAAAATAATAATAAAAAAACTCTCCATATTTTAATTATCTATTTTAAAGCTTTATTTGAAATAAAACTTTTATTTTTTAAATGTAAAACATGCGCGGAGTGATGCTACATCAACTGACTTATAGCCTGGCTCGCAACGGAGTGCTTCTAAATCGACTGAGGGTTTGGTTTGGACAGGCAGTCTATCAAATGATTAAAAAAAAAAATTGTCTACATTGTATTTGTCTAGTTTCGCTTAATTTCCTTTTATTTTTTTTTAATTAATTTTTTCGCTTAAAAGTCCTTAAAATATACCGCTAAATAAACTATTTAACGGAAATAAAACGTTAAATCATTAACAACCAATAAGACGATGGTTTGCAAAAAAGTTCGCATTTTACAAGTTTGCAGTTCGCGGATCGCAGTTCGTATTTTATCTAGGACCTTGCCTTACATATTCTAATCTAACAAAAAATTCTTAAAGAAAGCATGGCATTCTCTGTCGCTTTAATAATATTAAAAACCAATTTGGTCTGGTTTAAGGTAATTAAATTAATAACAGGCAACCAACATATGATGCCAAAACTTTTATTAACCTTAATTTTACTTTTTTAATTACCTTAATAAACTTTTATTTATCTTAATTGGAAGTACATAATAAAATAACTCTTTCGATAAATTAAAACATGGATATGCAACTAAAATCAATGAAAAAATTAAGAAGGATGCATAAAATATATGCATCAATATTATAGAAGAAACGAATTACTTATTAGATAAGAAACTTGGTTCTAGCGAAAGTCGTGAAGATGTGGAAACTGACTTAAATACAAACTTGGAGCTGTTAAACATAAAAATAAAAGTTATAGAATATCTTAACGAAAAAAGAAGTGAGTTGTTGGAAGATGATGATAAGATACGAACTGTTTGTGAACTGTGAACCGGATACGAACGAATCTGGAGACTTTCAAAGGTACGTTTTAAAAACCATGCATCAAAATGTATCTTAAACAAAATCCTAATAAATCTTTATTCTATATTGAGAAATCAGCTTCCAAAACTAAATATTCCATTTCTGCCAAACTGCGTAAGCCCACATTTCCTAAGTATAGCAACAATCCAATGGCTTTTCAATCATTTTAAGATTCGAATCAAGTGTTAAATTGCATTTCTTAATTCAATTACCTTAAAAATCTCTTGTAAGGAAATGCAAGTCTTTCAATCCAAGGTTTAGCTTTAGCAAGTGAAAATTATAGAACTGCAGTTAGAATTTTTAATGGATGCTTTTCTCAACATTCAACCTACTCAAAGTAATAAAGTCTCCGCAATCCGAACAATCTTTGACTTAGTCAAAATTAATATAAAAATCTTAGAACTTTTAAATG